AACCACAGGGATCCTCATTAACCATGCAGCTCCATGCTAACCACAGGGTTCCACGCTAACAACAGGGATCCATGCTAACCACAGGGATCCATGCTAACCTGGAGCATGCTAGTTGATCTGGTTCCAGGCACCACTCATCTCAGATCTACATGTATGACAAGAGCCTAGAAATAAAGGAAAAAATCACAGAATTACACACTAACCACAGAGATCCATGTTAACTGTGGGGTTCCAGGCTAACCACAGGGTTCCACACTAATTACATGGTTGCAGGATAATCACAGGGACCTTCACTAACCTTGGGGTCCAGGCACTGCCCATCTCAGATCTACATGTATGGCGACATTCTAGAAATAGCAAGAACTAGATCATGACAGCCACTAGGTGGAGTCACAGGAATGCACTTTACAGGCTGGATAACATATGGCAACCCTGCAACTAAGTATGCTCATGTTTCATTTGGCTGGGTACGCTGTTCTGGGGCGCTCTTCTGAGCAAGTTCCTTTCCCTCAAAGACTGGGGAATATGTGAACATGCGTCACACGTACAGTGTGAAGTTCACAAAAATCTGAAAAAAGTTTTCTTCTAGTGTCCACCACCCAGTGAGAAGGAAGAAGAGCAGAGCTCCACTAGAGCTTGGCACCAAAACCCCGAAGGGGCATGAAGCCTGTGGCACCACAGTAGCTCCATAGGGAGAGAACAACTTAGCAAGCTGAAATCCACCAGTGCCAACTGCCAGGCCTGCATCAAAGTTTGCATCATGTAGGTCTGGAAAGCTTGTTGACATAGTTGATGGTTCACACTACAGTCATCTCTCACCTAGTTTCCAGCAGCTTCTTCAGACTGGGCTTCCAGCACTAACCATCAATCTGATTCACTGATCCAGATTTCTGTTGCACCACTGATATGGTCTTGGTGGTTCCAGTATCTCAGAAAAAAGCCACCCTCCTGGGATTTAGACAGTGGCTTGAGTCTGGGACTGAAAATATTTTGATAATGAGAGAAGTCAGAGGAGAATGGCTGCACTCATTACAGCTATCTGTAAGGCCTCAAGTGCACAGATCATCAGTGCTTGAAGCAGTCCTGGAGGGTTCTACTGGGCCTTACCCAGATGCACCTTATAAAGTGTCCACTAATATTAATTTTGTTAATGAAAATATGGCCTGACAAAGAACAAATACAAAACATGACTAAAATATGTAACGACAATGACAAAATGAAATATATTATTTGTCTTACAAAAAAAACATTTTTTGATAAAACTGTAGACTGTTTCCCCAGGCATATGTACTTTGTGAGTAGGTACCATACTGGCCATGACATGATCATATATCCCCCCATCCTGTCACTCCTGGCTGCTTCATACTTCTGCGTAGAATCCAGGGTGTACTCCTCAGTTAAAATGACATTATGTTACTGCCTCCAGTTTCCCTGCTAATGAGCATTACTAATCCAATATCTTACCGTTACTGGGTCGTCTTACAGGTTTCCCCTGCTATCTGAAAGTATAGCGTTGTGCCAAATCATTTAGTGAGAGAGAAGAGAAATGCAACATGAAATTTTACATAAAAACAGGGGCGTTCGTCAGAGAATAAGAAGAAATCTGAAGGCCAATGTGGTGAAGCCTGATTAGTTTCTTCTGAATGTGCCAGAGGACCCTGAACATTACAAACTCCTGGTAGCTCCAAGCTCCTTCACACTCAGGCTAGACCCAAGATGCAAATGAAATCAGGGAAAGCCTGTAAGCAATTATACATGCTTAATATTCAACGATGAATCGACAAATAATAGCTATCATTAGTGCTTCATAGAGTTTGATTAATAGTTCATTCCTGGTGGTGGAATAGCAGAGAATCCCTGAAGAGAGAATTCAGAACCACTGTCATTTTTGCAGTGTAATGTTCATGTTTGCAAAGTTCATTTCACTGCGATGGGTTGGCGTCCCATCCTGGGTTGTTCCCTGCCTTGCGCCCATAGCCTCTAGGATAAGCTCTGGACCCCCCGCGACCCTGAACAGGATAAGTGGGCACAGAAAATTGATGGATGGATGGAGGTTTATTTTAGTCATGTATCATTAATATCAACTGAGGGAAAATCTATGCCTAGTGCCATGAATACGTTCCTTCTCCAGCTACTTTTGGAAAAAGAACAAACTAGGTGAAACCAAGAGCCCAGCATGAAGAGGCGCTATGGGACATGCTGTCAGCTCTGAAGGTCTGTCATCAGCACCACCATCACGGGACCTGGGGCACATGCATGCTGCACTCCTCTTCTAACATTTCCAGCATTTATTCTGACATTCTCATCAGCTCTGATACCTTCTGATTGGTGACCATCTGGTCTCAGCTGTTCACACGTTCTTCTGGTCTGAGCAGTTCACACGTTCAAGTCTCCATGTCCAGCATGTGGCTTCTTCTCCACCTTCTGTGCTGCAGACCACTATCACACAAGCTTCACACCCATGTCCAAGCCTGCAGAGTCAAACCACTGAAATCATGGTCTACATAAATTCCCAGTCTCCTCAGTGTAACTCTGTCCTGCACCAACATCATTTCACCTCTCATCTGACTTGTGTTGCATACTGTATGTTATTTATTGTCGGCTGTTGCATGCCTGCCTTGTTTTTACTGGCAAGTCCAGTTTAATTGTATGTATGACGATGAAAAAAGTGTTAACTTTCAAATAGAGAAAAAATTTAACTTTCTAAAGTATTTTTGACCACACGTAACACTTTGGAGTGATCAGTATCTCGGTAAATAACCCTTAACGAAGCTTGCTTACAGTGGCAAGTCCTCTGGTTGCCCACAGAAACCCCAAGATATTTCAACTCCAGCAGGGGATCTTCATGGTGCAAATCTAGAGCAGATGACTAGTAGCAGTGAAACACAGCTGGCTGCCGTCAGCAAGAAGGATCATCTGCATGTAACCCCGTCTTTCTGTTCCTGCTTCAAAATCATCGGAACTGAAACCCCAGCAGCAGAAAACACATAAAACTACCGATGGAGAGATTAGCTGTTACTTTAAACGTCAATATAACTCTGTTTCCACAAGCAGGATTTGGCTGGTTTCACGTAGTCCAGCATAATCCTCCAGCACCTGTTTTGTAGAGGTACACTAGAAACTCAAAGCACTTTTATGTCTTCAAATAGTTTATTGCATTTCCTTATACATTCCACATAACTGAATGGTTTGCATGTTTTAAAATGTGCTTAAATGTTTAACTCAAATGTTTCCCAAAATGAGAGCAGACACATCCATTGTAATTTTAATATGATTCAGGAAAAAAAAAATAAGAAGCAAAGAGTAGACTGTACACAGAGCATACATATTGATATAAAATTTACAATATCCCTTTAAATAGCAGCTTTTTGCACATACAGTACAAAAAAAAAAACACACACACACACACACACACCTATAACATACAATGGAACCAACTAATTTATTCACAGAAGTATTTTACAGTAATTTACAAATCCCTTCATAATACTGGACTCTCAGAAATGTGTGTCAATTTTCAAAATCATCGTCTAGGTCAGAATCACATTATAAGTGAAGTGTTCACCATGAATGACATTAAAGGGAAAAACCAGTGGGAAAAATTCAGTGGGAACAGAATCTCCACAAAAGATGGCAAAAGGAACAAGGCTGAATCAAAAAAGAAAGAAATGTAACTGAGTGATGAGCCTGTGGTTCTGACACCTCGTAGGGTGATTCCAACAATTAACCCTGATAAATCCTGTCAAAATCCTATCTACAACTCGTAATTACTTTACTCGTACCAGAACTTAACGATGTCTTAACCGTGAGGGGACCACATAAGCAAGGAGCAAATGCCAACAAGGAGCATTGTGATATTACCAAGGGAACAATGTGAAGATATTTACAGGACAGGCAGTTCTGCTAGGACGACAGAAAAAACGATAACTGCTTTATTTGGGTTTTCCAGGTTATTATTCATCGTATTTTCTGTGGTTGTACATTGCAGCCTGTTTTTTTTTTTGGTTGTTTTTTGTTACATTACTGTACACACTACATGGATAAACACCCTCAAAACATGTGCATAATTCTTAAAGATTAAATGATTGGATGGAGTATTAACTAGGACATATTATTATTATTATCACTATCACTGTTATATGTCTGTCCATCCATCTCCATACACGCTTGTCCTAATCTGCAAAGAGCAGGTGTGAGACACGGATTGCCCCAGCGCCAAGCCAGCTCATCATTATCGGGATTATTATTATTATTATTAATAATATTATTCATATTATGTAGTCAGTCAGTGCAATTCGGTTTGGTTTGTACATAAGCTACTAAGGATACAGCCTCACCCTCCATCCAACCCTCCCACACACACGCTTACAAACACGTGGATGTGTGTTTGTCAGTCAGAAGGAAGACGGTCAGACGCCTCTCCTTAACTGTACATCAGTGTGATTCACGCCAGAGCCTCAGTCATTGGTTGAGCCCTTAACTGTCACACTGCCAATCAGTGAAATGTTAAATGATGATTAAATGATATACAACATGTTAAATCTGTAATAATTTCTGCAACATTCTGGGGCTAGTCTGTAGCAGGCTCGGATCATGGGAATCAGGATCTCTCTCTCTCTCTCACACACACACACACACACACATGTGTTCTGACCAGCAGAACACAGCATGATCCTGCCATAGTAACCAAGCCAACAACCAGCCAGCTAGTCATACTTGCACAATGGGCAGCATTAAGAAACACTCAGTGATACAGAAACTTAGCGCCCGGTCATGCTCGTATATTTCTGGTTAAACACACAGAGGTGTACAATATAGCAGAGTACAGAGCAGTACAGCAGAGTACAGGGCAGTACAGCAGAGTACAGAGCAGTACACAGCAGTACAGCAGAGTACAGAGCAGTACAACACAGTACAGCACAGTACACAGCAGTACAGCAGAGTACACAGCCGTACAGCAGAGTACAGAACAGTACAGCAGAGTACACAGCCGTACAGCAGAGTACACAGCCGTACAGCAGAGTACACAGCAGTACAGCAGAGTACAGAACAGTACAGCAGAGTACAGAACAGTACAGCAGAGTACACAGCCGTACAGCAGAGTACAATGTGTGTCATCCATCTGCTTATGAAAGATACTTCTACTCTCTGCAAAGTTTGGATTGGGCAAACTTCAGAAAAATGTAAAGCGTGATGTTAAATTAAGTTAATCTTCCCAATTGTGTGTAATATTAAATATCACCTGAGGGGAAGAGGCCAGTCATACTTCTAAGTTAGTAACGTTTTCTTCATCCAGATCTATAAGACCTAAAACGCAGAGAGGAGTGTCAGAGAGCAACACTCATAAATGCTGAGTATATACATCACCCTCTGGGCAGCGCCAGGCTGCAGCGCCAGTCCATTACTAACAGCACAGCTGCGTAATGATGGAAGCGAGGCTCTGATCAGGGACATCTGGAGCTCTGAGGAAGCCGACAGTCACTGTGTTTTGGATTTTGGATGGTTTCAAGTATTTTCAGGAGACGACTTTTGGTGGTGCTTCGCATGAATCCGCACTAGTAGCTATGCTGCCACTCTCGCTACAACAGTGTCTGCTATCACTGAAGGGTGTGTAGCGAGATTCATCTCGAGGGCTTTCATGACAGCCACGCAGAGAGTAAAATGTTCAGCAGAGCCTGATAGGTGATGGCGGCCATCATTTCCCTGTTTTACCTTAACATACAAGCCTGGTGTTAAGACAAAGATCATAGTGACAATAAGGATGAAGACCACAGATGTGTTGGAACATTGCTGTTCGCAGAATGAAGCCTGACCAGTTGTGCATAGATTGTGGGCTTGTCGCCACTGCATTTGTGCCATTGTGAATATGCCCAGGTCCTCCTGGGTGGCACTGGTCACATGGGCAAATGAACATGAAAAGAAAGCGAATCAGAGCAGCTCCCAAATATCACAGATGTCATCATGGTCGTCTTCAGGATGCCATCTCTCCAGTGGCTTGGGGAAGGTGATTCCCCTAGAAGTTCTTCTCCAGGCTAGGGTAGTACTTCAGCACCTTATGGATCCACTCGGCATAGAATGGCACGCTGACGAAGACCGCCGGCCGGTCGGCCCGCGCACAGCCCCTCCCGTGGATACTAACCCCAAGGACAGCTTTACTCTGTCCTTCCTCACACACCAGGGGTCCTCCATAGTCCCTCTGGAAAAGAAAGACATTCAGATAGGACAATGAGGTGTTCTACTGATGAGCAGACAACCAGCCAAGGATTTCACTAAAAATGAGGGACGGAGTGTTTCTGGTGCCGACAGAGCAGGTTGAGGCTTCACCTCGCACACGCCCTCGTCCTTCCTGCCTCCGGCACACATTTTATCGTCCCCGATGTGGAGGATTCCTCCGTGGAACTCATGGCAGGCTTTATTGCTGACCACTGGCAACTCTACCACCTTCATGACCCCTTCATAGCCAGTTCCTGAGGAGAAAGACGTCAGACAGGGGCTCCCTTCATCGCCTGCATGCCATGGAGTGGCCAAGCATGAACTGGGAGGAAAGCAAACCGCACCTTTGGTCTCACCCCATCCGTACATGGAGCAGGTGGTGCCCTCCTCCATGGCACATCCTGCAACGGGAAGCTGGATCGTCCGCACGTGCTCAGACAGTAGGGCTTGTCTAGTGTCAGGAAATGCACCACAGGACCGTTTGTTAGCGTGAGGTCTCAGACGCTAACGTGCTAATCAGTGCTGCCACAATGAGTGATTTACTTACATCTTAGACACTAACGTGCTGAGGCACTATTCCAATAAGTGAATTACTGACATTTCAAACAGTAATGTGCTAATCAGCACCATTACAACGAGTTACTTGCTGACATCTCAGATGCTAATGTGCTAATCGGCACCGCCCCGATGAGCGACTTACTGCGACAGCCGCAGCAGGGCCAGATTGGAGCCCTCTGGTCCGCAGACCACACTGGCGATCTTCAGGTCCTGTTTTGTGGACACGTTTCTGTCTGAGTCGTTGAAGCGGTGGAACCCCATCCACACTCGGTACTCAGAAAGATCTGGGACGCTGTAGAGGCAAAGTATGCATTACTGACACAGTACTGGGCAGACATGGTACTGGTGTAGTGTGACTCAGTGGCAGGGGAGTTGGAAGGGCATGGACACGCTGGCCCATTCACCCCGGTCTAGCACTTCCTAAGGAGCCCTCCCACTCATATTTCACCATGGGGGACACCCTGTATTTTCACGTTACACACCCCGGCTCAGTGGGATAGGGTTCACATGGCTAGCAGAGAGATATCGCCATGCTTACACAATCCCAAACAAACTTAATAACACATTTGTGATGTGAGCCTCAGGTCACAGGTCATGACCATGACATGCAGATAGTAAACATAAAACTCTCCATACCGGAAAAAAACAAAAAAAACCCTGCAGAATTCATATACTGTATAAGCTCCTTAACGCTTCACTGACCTTAATATTTCATAATGATCATAATTATTGTGTGAAATTATCATAAGTATCATAATTATCGTGTGAAAATGAGAGCGTTACCAGGAGGAGAAGCACTGTCGATCAGTCAGGACCCATTCCTCTCTGATGAGAGAGCCACCACACCAGTGATGGCTTCTGGAAAAAGGGAAGCGAGACCATCATCATATCATTTACTTTCGTTGCCCACAACAGTATTTTTGCTTTATTTTTGGTCTTTTTGTTATTATTTGCACTATAACCAGTGATATTTTAGCTCAGAATATGACCCAAGGATCATAGCTCTGAAGGTGATAACGGACATGCTTTGACTTTTGTGTACATCCTTTTCACATTCGGCCAGGAACAGCAGAGGTGATGATGACCGAGGGACAAACAGAATGCAGAATGCAAATGGGGGGTAAATATGACAGGAAGTTACTACTAGAGGAAGCTGTCACTGACAATCATTACCCTTTCTGTATGCTGACCATCCAGCTGCCCTCCTTGATCCGCACTTCAGCTCCGCCCACAATCCTTGTCCTCTTGTGAATGAAACAAGACGGCTTTCTCCCATCGTCTGGAAAACATGCAAACACATGGCAGCTTGACAACGAGTGACTTGCCTCACAAAGCCAAAGTATACCTGCCTGCTATCTGGAGATACACATTGGCAAGAGCAAGGCTTCTAAATCAAGCTTTTAGATCTACACTTTAAACCTAGAATGTGAAGAAATCACCATCTGAGTCCTAACAATACAACAGGACAGTCCTTCATTCTCATTCTCATATCAGTCCTAAGGTTCACTAAGGACTGCAAAACAACATGTCCTGTAACTGCTGGTCAGTGCCCTACATCAGTTTGGAGGAGTTTCAGCTATTTCCTCCTGAGTCAAGTACTTCCCAATTCTGAATGTCATGGCACATCACTGAGTGCATACGATGGGCTTTGAGGGACAGAGATTTGCTGGGATATGCTTCAGATATCCCCTGTCCTGGAGAGGTAATGTCAAGACCTCGCAAAACCTGTCTTATCACAAGTTAGTTTGGTAAAAAAAAAAGCTCACAATAAATGTGTGAGAGAGAGGATGTTACAACATCAACAACTGCAACATTTATCCAAACTGTAACTAGGGAACCTTATGGATCTTGAATAAGTGACTTACTTTTTGAGGGGATTTCATTGGGAGACATCTTGCCTGAAAAGCAACAACAGGCTCAGTAAAACACCGTCATACTCCTTGATGAACCTATTTAAAGTAGGTATGAAAGTCAACAAGGCACAGCATGTTCCCATTAAGGAAACTCAAAGTAAAAGCCATGATTAACACGACAACAACAAGAAAACAACAAGAAAGACTCTCACTGACATTTTGATCTACAAAATTCAAAGCAGACATCGCACGTAATCAGACAAACCAAGACTGTGCGGAAAGGGATAGCTGACAATGTGAGTCAGACAATGCGGTCATGTAGTTACTGGGCTACCTGGCTTGCACTTCAAAAACACTTGGTTAATTCGATGGCTGTACACAAGATTCAGAACTAACATCAGGGTTCCCCCAGTTCTGGCACAATAAATTTCCATGACTTTTCTAAAACTTCTCCAGTACCATAAGAAAATGTTCCAAAACCCACAAGTTTGCTTTGATTTGATGATCATGCAGTTTCAGATAGCAATTGTCCTGCCCCGATCGTCCACTCCTTCCGTGTGCCACGCCCCCTCGTTAACCTCGTGTGGAATCCCTGCATGATCAGCTGTTTCTGTTTGTTGCCATTAGTCCTCTGTATTTAGTCTGCGTTTCAGTTTGTTTCCCCAGTCCGGTCATTGTAATATCACTGCGTGTTTTCTTGCCTGCCCTTTTTAATAAACCCCGTGTTCCCCGATTTCCTGACTGCCGCTCCTCTGTCTCCGCTCCGCGTCCCACATACGGCACGACAGTAATACTACAATTTTCGGCACGATAATAGCCAATCTGCTTACCTAATAAACACAGATGGTGGACAACTTTCGCCAATGTGCAAATAGCGTTCAATTATTAAGAAAAGTAATCCCAATATTAAAATTATATGTACCTTATGATTGGTAGAGGCAAACGGAGTAAAAAAAAACTGATCAATAAAATTCAAATACATGCAAAAAGATAAATAAAACCATAAAAACCGGAATAACGAGCAAAAAAGCAGCGATCACAAATACGCGAAATCTGCGCTGAAACGGATGTTTACCAACGTAGTTAACTATTGACTTCCACTCGTACATTTCTGTTAGCACATTGTGGAACGAAGCAGGGAAAAAAATGAACAAGGCTAGTTTCCAAAACTTTTCCATAACTTTTCCTCTCTATCCAAGAATTCCAAAACTTATCCAGGGCCTGAAAAAATGATTTCAAAATTACAAAACTTTTCCAGGTTTTCCATGACCGCGGGTAAATAACATGATTCCAAACCCAAAGTATCATAAGCTTTATCATTCACAATTAGTGAACCATGGTGGACATTGAGATCCACGGATTGAGATTGAAAATATGAAATTAAACTAAAGTTAAATTTAACTGAATTGAAACTGGATTCCATTCATCTCTCATGTAGAGAGATTAGTTGCTTTCCTGTAGGGTGTAGAGTACCATCCTTTTGTCAGGACGGTACAGTAATGAATTTCAAGGTTCCAGCAGAAGCCTAAACAGACACTTCAGCAGATCTTTGTACTCACAAGGCTTTATGTTGCAGTAGTCCCAGGGAGTGGAGGACGAGTTGGAGAAACACCAGGGTCCATGCTTGTCTTTATCTGGGTTTCTGCAGAAGTTCCTCTCCAGTTCTGCAGCTACTGCCAAGGTCTCTCTAATTCTGTTGAAAAAGAAACAACAAAAAGGCAATGTGAGTCTGAAATTCAAGGGGAGCATCGTCAGTGGATTGGAGTGAAGGCACGTCATGTGACAAGACAAAGGGGAAACATGTGCACCACACCAGCAAGGAGGTCAAAGCATATCGCTGAACATCACCTATGAGGAGCAACAGAGACTTCCTGTCATAAGTCAGAAGTGGGGAACTGCTCTCTGACAGATCCTCACAGGTCCAGAGCTCCTACTATCCATAATCCTAGTAGTTCACGAATCTTCAGCCTAGTCATTAACTGAGGCAAAGGGGTTATGAATGGCAGGAATGTGGTCAAAAAACACAATGCTTCTGAGTTTGTGAAGAGCAAGGAGCATTCCGGCTCCCCCTCAAGAGTAAACAAATTGCCGCTGACATTTTCCAGGCTGGACCTTGAAGACAACTTGCTGGAAGTGAGCCAGATAAAGAAACCGACTGAGTCTGATTCAGTCAAGAGGGAGACCATATTTAATCATAAATTCCAAGACTCAGAGCATGTATCCCTATGCATCTTGCTTCCTTTGAACCTAAGAGGTCTTCTCACTCGTGACAGCAGAGCAAGCCCAGAGATCCTGTCACTCTGTTGTTCACACATAATGAGCCCTCACTGACCAAAAAACATCTTCTTTTGCACTTTACCCTCCCAGGAGGCAAGAGAGCTGAGCCAGTGGCATGAAATCCATTAGTAAAAAGGAAACTGATGGTCACCCATGATAAATATAAAAAATATCTGGAATAGGAAAATTAAGAAAATCAGGGAATCAAAGGGCTGTACCGAGTAAGGTCTGTGCTGCAGGAAGTCAAAGGGCTGTACCGAGTAAGGTCTGTGCTGCAGGAAGTCAAAGGGCTGTACCGAGTAAGGTCTGTGCTGCAGGAAGTCAAAGGGCTGTACC